GGGCTCTCATCACGACGGTGTGCAGCGGGCGCCGATGCGAGGCCGGAGCGGTAACTGCTTGCTGCCCTTGCTGGGCTACTAGCTGCGCCAACCCACCAACGTCGCCCGAAATGCGTTTAACTCGGCGATAAGGTTGAGTTGAGTCGGCAGCGGCACCAACCTCACTGACTTGCTTATGAAATTTCTAGGAGGAGGCGAATTTAGTTACGAGTGGAGAGCGCGCGAGGTCGGAGCGGACGCAGCAGAGCGGCCTCTTTCAGTCGCCCCTACTACTCCTTCCCTCGTGAGCCCCATATGACCCCCGCGCACACCACCCCCCGACGCCGACGTCCCGTGCCCGGGGCTAAAACGGCTAACAGTAAGTGGATTTGCCCCAAGATGCGCCTCGCCCCGCCCCGCGCGGCCTCCGTTGAGAGTCCGCATACGAGCCACTAGGCGGGGAAAAGGCGGGCGAGCGCGCATAGAGACGATGACGATGGACCCAATGGACGCGGGGAATTCCCCCCGCGCCCGCCGCGCCCCCGCCGCGCGTACGTGATATCTCGCTCGCGGCCCGCAACATGCGACACATTATAAGCTCGACCCGCGACTCGCGGGCGCGCAGAGTCAGTCAATCACATCGAACATGCATCGAAATAGATGCTGTCGGTTTTCCCAGATTGGCCCAGTGCGCGACGCCACGTCACCGACACACCCGCGCCGTCCGCTACCAGACGACGGCCGTGGCGCCATCTGGCGTCGCGGCCGCACAGACTCCCCCGCGCGTGGGGATATCCGCAGGGTATACTCCGTCCGCGCGACAGGCGCTGCGCGTGCAGGATGGGTTGCCTACCTCCCGGCGGCTCCGCCCGGCGACCTGGGTCAGCTGTTGATGTTGATGTTTGTGTCGTCGCCGCCGGACCACGCCACACTTCGCGGAACCGATCACTTCATCTTGAAACAAAAAGAAAACGAGATACGGAAAATTATTCTCACATCAGAAGCGTCATGAGTCTATCACAACAATGAATACTCGGAATTTCAAGCGCGGGTGAACGCCGTGAACGCGCGCCGATCGTTGAGCGGCCTGGCGAGCGACCCTTTGACCTACACGATGACCCGACCCCGCGACTTGTTTGGGAAGACGGCTTCTCTCCCATCCCTCTCCCTCTAGCCTTGGACCACTGCCTTCCGCAGTCCGCCTCTGGTCCGCTCACATCAGTCGAGTTGATGCTGCCGCCGTCGTCTCGCAACATGCCGATCCCGTCCAGAGCTGTGCTGGGCCTCCTGGCGGTCTTCGCGGCCGCCCACCTGTCCGAGGCTGGTAAGGACACTCGTGTCTTAGCTAATGACGACTCGGGGTATTTAAGTCGTCTGAAAATTAATTCATTTAACCTGCGCCTCCGGTGCAGCCTGCCCCGCCGGGACCTTCGACTGCGGCGATGGAGGATGCGTCCCCCAGGAGAAACGCTGCGATTTCTGGACCGACTGCAAGAACAAGAAGGACGAGTCCGACTGTAAAGTGGAAGGTTTGTATTAAAAACAATCCCAGTTGAAAAACAAGTGATGTAAAGTGTACCCAGCTCTGCAGATGCGGATGGGCCCTCCCCGCCGCCTTCCATGGTGCATATTGATATGCATCGTTATCGTCTCCTGCAGACTGTAAGACTGGGACCTTCGGCTGCGGCAACGGCAAGTGCGTGCGGAAGCTGATCCACCGCTGCGAGGGCGTCGACGACTGTGGCAACGGCGCTGATGAGAAGGACTGCAAGCCCAACGGTGAGGACCCGCCTGGGGGATACCTTTGACATGAGGGTTACATGCAACTGGCATGGACCCCCAAATTAATGGCAATGTATGTGAATGTCAAGCAGCGTTTCAGGTGTCATTATTTTTATAAATTTACCACGCGTGGGACATTTTTCTAGATGGGTCGAATTTCTCACAGCGTTTCATATCCACCATAAAACCCAGAGTACACAAAAACAATATGTATGCACGATCCAATGACCATGACCTTTCCAGAGTGCGGCCTCGGCGCCTTCTACTGCGGCAACGGCAAGTGTGTTCGAAAGAACCGAAAGTGCGACGGCAAGGACGACTGTGGAAACGGAAACGACGAGACGCAGTGCAAGCCAGAAGGTAAGTTAAGCTAAGTCCACCCGCGCGGGACTTCCCCGCCCCCACCCGGCCCGATTATAGGCCGGTCACGGTGCTGTTTTGTTGCAATGACCCATGTCTTACGTCTTCACCCTCGCAGAGTGTCAGTCCTACACGTTCCCATGCGGAAACGGCCGGTGCGTAAAGGTCGAGAAGAAGTGCGATGGCACGGACCACTGCGGGAACGGTGCCGACGAGAAGGGCTGCGCCGCCATCTCGAAGACTAAGGGGCCGAAACCAGCCGACACAACCAGTACGTTGCTGTAAACTCTTCAGACCTAGAGTATATTTTCTCCCTCGGTGAGGTTTGTTCGCTTAAACCACTTTCTGCGAAGCTTGCCCGAAGGGCCAGTTCAACTGCGGGGATGGAGGCTGTGTCGCAATGGACAAGAGGTGCAACCACTGGAAGGACTGCAGAAATGGAGCTGATGAAGCTAACTGCGCCAAAAGTGGTGAGTGCCAGAAACTTGGTTTTAAGACAACTGAAAATGACGATTTGGAATCGTCTGTTATTTATAACACGAAATAACACGAAAAATTCTACTTGCAGATTGTAGAGGTGGTGCTTTCCACTGTGGGGGAAACAGCATGCGGTGTACATGGAGTCAGGATCGCTGTGATGGAAACAAAAACTGTGACAACAACTCAGACGAGGAAAACTGCACTCCAGAGGGTAGGTCAAAGAATCATGTGTGCCAATTTCTAATTTGCTTTCACAATACCCACCTCTATTACATATTTTGCTGTCCTTCCTTCTTACTTTCAGATTGCAAACCATTAACAAGATATTGTGGAAATGGTCGATGCGTCTTGACTAAGCGTTGGTGTGATGGTAAAGATGACTGTGGGAATGGGTATGATGAAAAAGACTGCAGTAAAGATGGTAAGATTTCAATCTCACTCTTCAATCTCTTCAATCTCACTCTATAAAAGACTTTGATTAGCTAACTTTCTCTATATTGTTCTTTTTCAGAGTGCCAGCCGTACACAACATTTTGTGAGGCAAAGAAGGGGAAAAAAGCCAAATGTGTTCCTCAGGGCACATCATGCTAAGCAGTACTCCCACGCATCAAACTTGGATATTTTCTTTTTTGAAATTAAGACATAAATAAGAAATAAGTTCTCATGATATTGCAGTTTCAGTGTATTATAAAAGTAATTTAAAATTAGGCATACACTACTACACCACTGGTCCAAAACCAACAACTGATATGTACGAAAATTGTCAGAAATAAATATTGATGTTACATAAATATTTT